GTTCTTCTAAAACTACCCTACCTGGAGGACTAACTCAGGCTCCCACAATAACTGCGTCGATCCCTTCCAAGGGCAATAGCCCCAGGGGCTGAGCCAAAAGCACACAGAAACCATGGAACACTGCTATACTTCCTTTGCAGGACTGCCCTCCCTGTGACACCCCCACCCTGGCCATCATCACTGCTTCCTGCCTGGATCATTGCAAAGAAGAAAAAAGAAAAAACCCGCCTCACCTCACTTCCCTCAGCCCCCACCTGTGTTGCCTCACCCCATTGAGAGTGTGACCTGTTCCTGCAGAGGTCAGGATAACACTCTTCCTTTAGCTGCCTCCATAGCTCCCTGGTGCATACAGAACAAAACTCCTGCACTGGCCCTGAGGCTCCAGTGACACCGCTGACACCTTTCTGGGTTCTTCCTCCCGCTTCTGCCACCTCAGAGCTTCACGGCTGTCTCTCTGGGATCAATGCACCATCGCGGAGAGCCCTTTCCAGGCTCCCACTGAAATGATGCCCATTCTTGTCTTTTCCCCCTGCTCACTCTCTTAGCTCTGTGTGCATTATTGGGCTGTCATTTTTGCTCCTCAATCAGACTGTGAAGAGATGCTGACCCCACCGAAGTAGGATAGTGCGCCTGCCCTGTCCACCACTGCGTCTACACCAATTAAAGCAATCAAGACAATCCCCCCTCCACACACACACAGGCCTACAGATCATCCTGATACAGACAATTCCTGACAGAGACCCTTCTTAGGAGATTCTGGATGTGCCGAGTTGACAATGAGAGCTAGGGGGGCTAAGTTCAACACATAAAGCATAAACAACACGGGTTCTGAAGAGAATCAGCTGGAAATGGGGAGGTGCTAGCGGAAACATGGAGGCAAGTCATGACAGACGGCACCTGCTCGTAGATGTTGTCGACAAGATTGTTGAGGTGGGAGAAGCTGCCTGTGGCCAGCTGTGCAGGGGGAACAGGTCCAGGTGAGAGGCAACAGGCTTGCTGCGTACAAGAGAATGAAACAGACAGCGAGAATCATGGTCCAGCGGAACTAAGACACGGAAGAGAGCGGAAATGGGTGGCGATGGCTGTGCTAAAGAGTCCGTGTGCTCCGTCCCACTCACCTTGCGCTGTTGTCACCAACGGTGAGTTTTTACTGCACATGTTTTTGTCTCGGTGTAAGAGTAAGAATTTAAAATTGAATAGGTATTGTTTAAAATAAAAAAAAATGATACACTGTATTTTGCACCGACGCATACATAAACTTTAAATGTGCTGGACTGTTAAGGAGGTGGGGTGGGCCTAACAAAGACAATAAACAGACAAATGATCCAAGGCAGAGAGGGAGCCTCTGCCTGAATCTAGAGAATGCTCGGGGGTGGCACAGTCAACGCACTGGGTGACGGAGCTGTCTCTGCAGTAGAGTCAGGGGTTATTATCCCGATCCTCCATAGTGTGAGGAGGAGGCTTCCTATTCCCTAGGATACCCCCAACCCCTTCAAACTCTGGCTCCTACAGTGACCTTTCTGGCTCTTTGAATGTCTCTTTCTCTGCTAACCTGAAAGACTGGGCCTCAAGTGCCAGCTGCCCCCAGCTTGTCGCATCCTAGCCAGCCGCCTGGCCCAGACTTCCACATCTTTGGCTAGCACAGTCAGTGAGGCTTATGTACCCAAGAGATTCTTAGCCTGCAGGGAGAATGGAGCGGGAGGCGTCTTGCGGCCTGGAATGGGAGTCCATGTTTCACTCAAGTGGGTTTGTAGACGACTCTTCCTTTGCCCGATTCAGCACACCTCTAACACCCCAGGAGCATAAAAATGGCCGCTTCCTGATTTTCCGGTAGCTGGAGGTTAATATGAATTGTCAACTTGACAGGATTTAGAGTCACCTAGCAAAGAGGCTTCTGGGTGTGTCTGTGAGGGATTATCTGCATTGGGTAAACTGAGGGAGGAAAGTCAGTTTACCTAAACTGTGGGCTGCACCATTCTATGGGCCAGTATCCTAGACTGAATGAAAAGGAGAAAGTTAGCTGAGTGCTAGAGTTTATGCCTTTCCACGTTCTGACCCCTTGATGCATGCAACAAAGTCCTAGTGCCATGGCTTCTCTGGATGGCGCCCTTGAACTCTGAATCAGAATAAACCCCTCTCCCTTAAGTTTCTGTTGATAGTGAAGAAAAACAGCTACACAACAATAAGACCTGGTCTTTATTTAAGACCTTGATTCTACTTGACAATGGGGAGGGGGATCACGTGAACCAGGGCTCCGTTCTGCAAGGCATGGCTGGGATACAAGGGTCCTGTGAGTGTGTCTGGTCACTCAGCTGAGTATGAGGACTGCTGCTTCGAGAAGATGAGTCCATACCATGTCACTTTGAGGAAAGGACAGGTGGACGAGTCATTTGTATTCTGTGCCTGAAACTCGGATCATGATAAACCCCTTCCAGACTTGACGTCCCCAACACTTGAATTCACCAAGCGCCCCTATGCGGCCCAGCTGAGCATGCTGCTGAATTTTGATGGATGTGTACACCTCTAGGGACAACTGAGCCCATCCATGTGCTGAAGATGGAAGAGCAGCAGGAACATCAGGGTAGGTTGTTTCTTGCATGAGCAAGGTGTGACAAGCCAAGCACTGCTCCAAGGGTATGCCTAGTAGTTCTGAATGAGCCTTCAGCCAGAGGAGAAGATGGTCCTCAAACAGCAATGCAGGGCAACCTCTGGCTGTGCCCACCAGCTCTCCTGCCTGCAAATAGGTCTGGTTATCGTGCAGGAAGGAGCATAATAAGCAGATTCAAGTGGCAACTGACTACTGAACAGCTTTGAGAAAATGACCCAGAATCCAGAGCTGCTGGATGACCATGGCCTCAGTCCTGGGATACGTGTGGGATGTTACCCACACTGAACATGGCACTGCTGCCTGTGCCAGGCTGCTTCAGCCACGTGGAGTCTCCATGCATGCTGGAGGTCTAGGACTGCTGGGACCTAGACCCTCCAGAAGCTAGGGAGAAAATAGCTCTATTCTCTCAGGAAAGCAAAGTCGGGCTTCCCACCAAGGAAAGAGACTCCCCAAATGCTGGAGTACCATTCTGAAGCTGGAAATGTTTACCAGTCCATACCCTATCGAGAAAACACAGCATCTTGTCTCGGTAAATTGTGGAGAAAAGCGGCCTTCTTCAGTTCACTGTTGCAAATATCCAAGGTCAGAAGGCCACATCTGGTGATGGCCTTCTGTTGGCAGGGTACCATGTTACAAGGGCTCTCACCCAAAAAAAGGCTGCGAGCACACATGCTTTCTGGTCTCTGCCCCTTATGAAGCTGCAGAATTCAGTGGTGAAGGCCTCATTCTCCTGGCCAATTGTTTCTGCCCTCTAACACTTCACAATGGGGACTTAAATGCAACTTGAGTTGGGAGGTGGGAGGAGTTGTATTGAAACCATAGCAACAACCAAAATAAAAAAAAAATGTTCAAATGACTAAGTGGGGACTCAATGGCTGTACATGTCTCTAGACCCCCTGGGCCAGCATTTAGTTGAACTAGAACCCTTGCTGATTGTTTCACGTTCCATGATCTTGATCTCTTCAATGTTCCTTCTGATTTCTAGCATCCAGAGATATTCCATTAACACAAAAAGCTTAATGACTATGGTTTTAATACTCTAGGCAGCTTGTGTCAATTGTCCTGAGAATGAATGTATGTGAAGGGATTTGGGAACACCATCAGCCGTTCAAGTGTGTGTGTGTGTGTGTGTGTGTGTGTGTGTGTGTGTGTGTGTGTGAGAGAGAGAGAGAGAGAGAGAGAGAGAGAGAGAGAGAGAGAATGACTTCTCTGAAATCCTGCGCTAAATATCTACTCAAACTTTAGCTCTGGTAAACTAAATCTTATTTTAACAAATATTGTTGTCGAGGTCCCTGGGTCTCTATGGATTTTTCAGAGCACACGTCTCTGTTTCGTCTTTCCTCACTGTTGGCCAGGTATGCAAACAATTGGAAGGTTGTCAGTAGGTCAAGGCCATCTGTAGTTTTGTGGTTTTTACCGGTTGGCAGCGGCATGCTGGTAGGAGGCCCGGGCTGTGGGTCTAAGGTTGGTCAACTTTGTAATAAACCTATTAGATGATGCAACAGGGCACAGGCTTCAGAGACACACGTGGTCTCAGCTGTGGCACCTTGGAATCAGCCTGAGAACTCAAGGTAATTGCTTACCTTGGTCTTGAACTGGGCTTTCTGGGATAGTCCAGCCTAGGAGTGAGTTATATGCAGTAGTCCAGGGCCTGTGTTGGGATTTCGATTAATGTGTACAAGGAAGTTGGGAAATGGTTATTGTAGGAGCAGAGTGGAAATGAGACTTGAGATCTAGTTGATGGATGTGAAAGCTGGGCTCCTGGGGGGTAGACAAAGCTCCTATCTACCAGCTCTGTAAACAGGCTATAGACTGTCCAGCCTGGTGTCCTGGAAGGCCCCAGGGTGAGCTGGGGGATGTGCAAGCCAGTTTGGGATTCTGTTCCTTTGCTTGTAAGCATCCAGCTTCATGCATGGTGTCTGCCTAGGATGGTACATAGGGCCAGGACAGCCTGGCCACGGCCTGCAGGAGAAAGGAGATGATCTAGCCAGCGGCCACCTCCCAGGCCCAGCTGCAGGGCTGGGCTTCCTGAAAACTTTGAGTCTGGAGCAAGACAGCTGACCCCTGCCTGTGTGTTTACAGTTTTCACAGGGCTCTGGGGACAGCTGTGGCCTCCCCACCCCTGTGGCTTCATGGTGGTGATGCGGGCCCCTGCTGGAGCTGCCTGGATTTAGGAACATGGTCTCCCCATGGCTTTCAGCAAATACGGTGTGTTTGTTCATATCTCCTGTAAACAGTTGTTTTCTCAGTGTCCGCCTAGCTTGTGTTAAATATTAACAAAGAGAGTCCATGGCTGCTCTCAGGGTATCTATTTTAAATATTTAAGGAATTGCTCTTCCCCATCCCGGAATGACATCTTGGCTCAAATTTGCTAAAACTGCTGCCACTTCTCTGGTTATTAAATTGTGTGAAATGCCTATCTCTCCTCCCTCCCTCTGTAAACAGCTGCCTCATTCACCTCCAGTCACAACACCATGGGACATACTGGGTTCCAGAGCATCCTGCAAGGCGAGGTGCAACCTCCTGAGAAGCAGGTGGCTCTTGGGTTTGGTGGTTTCTCCCTGGAGTGGCAGGAGCACCAGCTGTGCTGAGCTGCTCTGAGCTCCATCTGTCTCCAGCCGGCCTTTGGCAGTAATCACAGGCTTTGGGACATTCTGCTCTACCTGGACTCAGTTGTGGAACCTTCCCCTGGCCTAAGATTTGCATTCTTAGGGATCTTCAGACAGGCAGGTCAGTTTCTCCTTCTCAGGGAAGGTATGGGATGGCAGTGCCACGAAGCCTTTTCGAAAGAAGTAGGTGATCTCTCCCCCCTTCCTCCCCACTTCACGGTGCGAGCGTACGAGTGGAAGGCAGAGGGTGATCTTTCTCCAACTTGGGCCAGAGAGGTCTAGCCCCAGTTTGTGAGACTCCTAGACGGCCCTGCCTCTCTGAAGAGCTAGTGAGATCACCCCCAAATTAAACCAATTTAAGGTCACTGGCCCTAAGGACTGCCACACAGATTTCAGCATTAAGTGAATTCCAACCCCTCTAGTATTTTAAAGACCTTTTAGTCTTTAAAAAAAATGAAAAGGAAGTGGTGGTTGTAATGCTATTCTTGATAGGGTGCCAGGGTGGACCCCAGGGCAGTTTCTGTTGGAGGAGCCTCACCAGAGGGCAGGGAGAGCACTGGGGTCCCATAAGAAGTCAGGAACCCTCTGTAGTGACTTTCTTTGCCCCCTTCTACCTGGAGGAAACAGTCGTGCCCACTTCGGAATTGTTAAGATCGACCACGTGGATTTTGTGAGTGACACACGGCGCCTGTCCAGTACTCCCACAGCTGGTGAGCAAGCTACTGCTGAAACTACAAGCAGAAAAAATAGGAGTGTTTTCTTGGGTAATCAGGAAGGAACACCAAAGGACAGGGTGTGTCAGTTCCTAGCCACAGTGTGGCCTGGCGACAGAGTCATTAGTTGTTGGAAGGTTTGGGGAGGGGGGGAGGTTGCCAGACAGAAATCAAACCGACAGGTTGGGACTGGGGTAGGATGTCGAAGCCTGAAGCTCTGCATGTGTCAGAGGGAAACTCAGGGATGGTGCCTCATCCCTTCTGAACCTCAGGGGCACAGACAAACAGGCTTGGGATGCTGAGGGGGAAATGCCCTCAGAGCAGGACTAAGTAAAAGTCTGTTGAGAAAACTGCTCAGTCCTTTACCCTCGGCTACCCAGACACAAGGTGGGGGCATCCAGCCGTGGCCTCGAACTCGCCCTCTGACACCGAGAGACACTGGGCATGCTTTCTAAGAGCTAACCTTTTAATGTGAGTGTTCAAAATCTGCCTCAGCGAGCTCACCCAGGACTTGTTGAAACGTGGGTGAATGAACCCAACCTGAAGCTTGTTGATGCAGCCAGTGTAGGCCGGAGGCTCTCAACCTGTGGGTCGTGACCCCCTCGAAGGTCCCATATCAGATATCCTGCACATCAGATATTTACATTACGATTCTTAACAGGAACAAGATTACAGTTACGAGGTAGCAACAAAATGATTCTATGGGGGAGGTGTCACCACAACATGAGGAACTTCGTTAAAGGGCTGCAGCCTTGGGAAGGCTGAGAACCACTGCTCTAGAACCTAGAGAGAGGCTGAGGATTTACATTTCTGATTAGCTCCTGTACTGGTTGCTGGTCTCCTCTCTGTCACACATGGCCTGTCAGGAGCGTCTTTAACATACATGACTCTCTTTTGGCTTCTGACCTGTCGCGTTGAGGACTCCTGCAGAAGTTTATCCCCTTCTGATATTCGTACCTAATGATCTTCATGCCCCGTCCTTACGCTTTCCCAATCCAGGTAGCTACCCGGCGGGGATACAGACCTGCTACAAATGAGACACACAGCACACCAGGCACTGGGCACAATCATCCCCGGGCTCCACTCTCGGAGACAGAGGAAGGATGGAGACCCGTCAGATACACAAAGAAGACCAGCCACGTGAGAAGGAAATAGGAGAACAACTAACTCCGTAGGGAAAATAAATAGTTCAGAAAGCAGAAGATAATTCCTCAAAATATTAACTCGTGTCTTCGGAGAAATGAAAGTTTTAGAGCCTGTAATAAAAAAAAAATAGATGCTATGAAAAAGCAATTACACAGTAAAGACAGAGCTTCGAAGTTAAACATGATCGTTTGAATAAAAAGGTTAATAGGCTGGGCCAGGTGGCGCACTCCTTCAATCCCCGCCCTCGGGAGGCAGAGGCAGGTGGATCTTCGTGAGTTTGAAGCAAGCTTGGTCTACACAGGGAATTTAAGGACAGCTAGAGCTACAAAGTGAATCATTTTCTCAAAAATGGAGAGAGGAGGAACCAGAGAGCTGTTTTTATTGGTTAATAGCACAGGCTGCTCTTCCAGATGACTCAGGTTTAGTTCCCGGAACCCAAACGACAGTTTATAGCTGTCTGCAACTCCAGTCTCAGGGAGGGGCAACACCCTCTCCTGGCCTTCCTGGGCACCAGAAGGGCACGTGATACACAGAGATACATGGAGACAAAACACCCATACACATAAAACAAAAACATAAAAATGATTTTGGAAAAAAATAATTTTTAAAATAATAAAATAATTAGGGCTGGAAAAATGGCTTAGTGGTCAACGGTCTATAATGCTACTGCAAGGACTCAAGTTCAATCCCAGCGCCCACATCAGGGAGCTCACAACCTCCTGTAATTCCTGCTCCTGGGGAACCATTTTCTTCTGGTCTCCTTAGGCACCTGCACTCATGTACACCTCTCTCTCTCTCTCTCTCTCTCTCTCTCTCTGCTTTGTGCTTACAGATTAAATGGAAGTTCTTAGCTATTGCCCCAGAACTATCTCTGCCTGTCTGCTGTCCTGTTTTCCTCCATGATGGTCATGAACCCACCCTCTAAAACAGTAAGTCCCAATAAACTCCTTCTATAAATTGCCTTGGTCATGGTGTCTCTTCACAACAATAGAAAGGTAACTAAAACAGGTGCTATATATAGAGACACACAGCAACATCTAGGAGCAAACACCTCCACAGCAGCCATGTTTGCTATGTACCCAGGCTCCCAGCTACTCAGGAGGCTGAGGCAGGAGAATAGCTTGAGCTCAGGAATTGAAGATCAGCCTGGGGTATATAGTGAGAGAGTTGAAAACAAAGGAGTGGAAGTCTCCCATGTGATTCAGTGCTGCTGAGAGTAGGAAAACCTAAACTATAGATGACAAATTTCTGGAGGTTCCATGTGGGAATGTTTGAGTGAAATCCTAGAAGACCAGTGTGAGGGGTGCCTCACACTTGTGTGAATTTTGTATTGAAGATCTTTGCAGTGAGGGTGGAAAAAAAATCCATCTGGATCCTCTGGCAAGTGGACTGGAATACATGCGTTTTGAAAGGCACACACAGCACTCTGTTCTTAATGTGGTGGGCCCTAAAAAGAAGCCTAACTGGCTGGAGTTTTCACAGGAGCCCAGTGGGCCTGGGAGATGAAAATGCCCAGCTTCATCTCCCTGTAGCCATCCTATCTGCCCTCTGCGGGGACTCTATACTGAGAAGCACTTCTAAAGGTCAAAGCCCAGGGGCACTGGCTCCCTGAAAGATCAACAGTCAACCATAGGACTGTAGAAGGCTTCCTTTCCCCCACATCAGCCAGGCTCTTAGGCAACCACGGGATTACACCTGAAAGAACTGCTTGACTCAGGCTTGCTTAGGAAGAAGGCTTCTCTAAGGAAATCCAAAGCTAAATAGAAAAAAGAACACTAGAGAAAACTGAAGCCTCTGGACCCTACAGTTACAACGAGCAGCAAACACCCTTAGGGGGGAAAATCCATGAAACCTCACACGGAAAGTCCTGTTTCATCTGTTGCATTAGCAGGTATGTTGTGTCTGACTCTCAGCAAAATGTTACAAGATAGGCTATAAGTGAAAGTCATAGTTTTAAGAGAAAGAGCAAGAGTCAGATACCAGGCTCAGATATAACAGACATGTTGGACTTATACTGGGAATTTAAGGTAATTATAATTAATGTTTCAAAGGAAAAGTAGTAATGGAAAAAGCAGACAGCATTCAAGAATATATGGTTGAGATAAGTAGAGATTGAAACTAGAAAAGCTTAATAAGGAAATGTAAAAAAAACAATGAAAGAAACAAATTGTAAAAAATGGGAAGAAACAAAACTCCTGCACATAGCTGAGGAGAGACTGGTCAATGTTTTAGTCAGGGTTTTATTGCTGTGAAGAGACACCATGACCACAGCAACTCTTAGAGAGGAAAACATTTAATTGGGGCTGGCTTACAGTTCCAGAGGTTTAGTCCATTATCATCATGGCAGGAAGCATGGCAGTGTGCAGGCAGACCTGGTGCCGGAGAAAGAGCTGAGAGTTCTGATATCTTGATCCACAAGGCAGCAGAAGGGGACTGAGCCTACACAAGACCTCAGAGCCTGTGCTCACAGTGATATACTTCCCAGCAAGGCCACACCTGTTCCAACAAGGCCGTACCTCCTAATAGTGCCACTCCCTCTGGGCTGATGGGGGCCAATGACATTCAAGCTACCAGAGTCAGTAAAAGCTCCAAAAATGGAGTGCAAAGAGAAAGCAAGCCGGAGAGGAGCAAGGGACAGAAGCCGATGTGAGCAAGTGCTTTCATCTGCTCATGCTGTCTGCGGCAACGGAATTGTATGCTTTTGCAGTTCACAGTTAAGGCTTGTCAGGCTTTCTGTTGAGTGCACTTTTCCTGCCTGTAGACAGATACCTTCTCACAGTGTCTTTACAGCCTTCTCTGTGTGCTCCATGACTGAGATCTCTGCTGTATCTCCCTCTTTGGACACGGTCCTACCAAGTTAGGGCTCCTAATATACCAGATTAATGAACCTTAATTAACTCCTATAGGTCCTGCTCTCAATACAGTCCCCTAAGATAAGAGCTTTCACATAGGGATCGAGAGAGAGAGGCAACCAGAATCCAGAATCCACCCAGAATCCAGGGCCACAGGAAGGTGCAAACTCACTAAGGAACTGGAAGACTGAAACACCATTTAGGGCCAATCACAGCATGGGACCGCCGGCAGCTTTACCCAGGAACATGGCTTACTGGCTGCTGCTACAGAGCCTAAAACCTAACAATTCCCACCATTGCCACCCCTGATACCAATGCAGCTATCACCATGAGGAGGGAAGCTCTTTTCCTTCATCCCTCCACTGTCCAGCTCCAAAGTCTCTCTTTGGCAGCAACTAGCTGCAAGGGAAGCTGGGAAATCAGGTTCATAGGCTTCCTCCAACTCTGGCAATGCAGACGAGAGCACAGGAGGGCAGGTTTGGAGTTGTTTCAAAGGTTGGGAAATTCGAAGTGAAGCCTGGGAAATATGACCAGTGGCTATTCATTGTGAGAGAAAAAAAAAATTAAGGTAAGTAGACTATTTAAGGGAGGAAAAAAAAAAAAAACAAAAAGCTATAACATCTATGACCATGCCTGGTGTGTTGGCACAGGCCTGCCATCTCAGCACTAGAGAGATTGAGGCAAGAAAGTTGGGAGCTCAAGGCCAGCCTCAGCTAAGTAGTAAGTAAAGCTGGGATGCTACAGACCTAGAGCCAAATGATTTTAGGTTGTTTTTAATCCCACTAATAGCCATTCACTGCCCGTGTCTGTGTCTGCTCTTCCGTCCTTCGATCAGGTAAACTTTTTAAAAACTGTAGCAACTAAGCAGGTGGGTAGCTTCTCCACCCTCAAGGCTGAGAACACTATCTCGTAGCATCTGATGTCTGCTTCAGAAATGTCCTCCCTTTGCTGTTCTTCCTACTTGGTGTTCCTATCAGTGTTTGTTTTTAAGCCTTGATTTGTGACTGCCTTACTTCCGTAACCATAAACTTTCACAAAACTGCTTCCACCTTAGAACGTGTTAGTTGACACAACCTGAATTCATGTTCTTGGGCTACGGTCATTCATGGTCATGAGACCATTCTTATTCTCTTTGAGGTGAGAGCTATCTTTTCCATTCACACCAGCTAAGAGGATAGAGTCCTTCTATTGACTGTGCATCCTGGATGAGGGGGGAGGGGAGGAGCCAGGTATGAAGGCAGCGGCTGGCCCCCCAGTGAGCTCCACAGCCCAGCAAGGACTTGACAGTCTTTTAAGTGAAAAGAAAAGCAAGGGGTTGAGCCTACGTTCATAGTTTTAAGCTTAACAAATGTAAAAACTAAAACAAGCCACATTTTGGAGGAAGTAGGGTGAGGGCAAAAGAGTGAAACTCCAGTTTTAATAGTGGAGAATCCACTATTCAAAGGTGTTATTCAAAGGCGACAAATGGAAAAGTGTAACAAATGGTGTGTGTGTGTGTGTGTGCGCGCGCACACACACACTCTAAACCTGGGCTTTGCACATGCCAGGCAAGCCCTCTCCCAACTGAGCTAAGTCCCCAGTCAATAAGTTATTTTTAAGACTAGAAAAAAAGCCAAGAACAACAGAACTGCATCCTGGCAAGCATTTCCCCCGGGGCATACAGAAGTCAGCACCCCATGGCCTGTGCAGGGCTTTGTGCTCTGGTGAGATTTGGTCCTTTGCCATAGGTTTTTGGAAGTGTTTACACATGGGTTTACATTTCTCTCAGCTATAAGCCATTGCTAGGGATTTTCTAAGCCTATTTATTCTAAAGTAACCACAACCACAGAGCTACCAACTGTATAGTTGTATACCAACTGTATAGTTTCTGGTCGACTTAACCAGTTTACATTTTTGGTTAAAGGCACTTTTTGCCATCTCTTGCTTGTTTGGTCAGAGCAGGAAAGTGAACTTGAAAAGTTTCAGATGCTCCAGTCAGGCTAGCAGACTGGTCTCAGGCCCCAAGGATGCTCTCTGAAGGGCTGTAGTCAGGATGCTTCTAGGAGAATACAGGCTATAACCAGTTGGGTACAGAGATTGGGGACTCGAGGCACTATATTCAATGCTTTTCTTTTTGTAGCTGCCAAATACATGGGCAAGAACAACATAACGAAGGGAGGCTTTGTTTGGGCTCATGGTTTGAGAAGATACAGTCAGTCTGTTGTGGCAGAGGAAGGCATGGTAATGGAAACATAAAAACAGATGGTCATATCCCATAGTCAGGAAGTGGAGAGAGGAGTGGTGTTCAGATCACTTCCTCCTTCCCTTGGTGGTCCTCTCACACTCAGACCAGATCTTTGCCTCAGCTAATCCTCAGCAATC